GTGCGATACCTACACTCGACGAAAGGCCAAGCATATTCACAAAAAAGAAACCCATGTACTCGTCAGAGAGCATGTTATATAACGACTATGACCGCAAGAGTTCAGTTAAAATAAATCTATGGTCGTGAGTTTCAAGGGGCTTGGCGCCAAGATGAACTGGCGGTAAATCGCCACCCATAAAGTAACTCTGACTTTGAGCTTAGTTCAATTGTGGGATATATGCCAGACGGAAACTGGGGACTGTTAAGATCAGTTAGCAGGAAACGACTAGTGAAGACAGAAGACTTTATGTGTGCTGTAGTTACAGTGACAGTTGGGGCATGTAACTCAGTGAGATTGCTAGAGCTACTGGTAGTTATTTTCTGTAAGTGTTCAATAAATCCAATTATCAATCCAAACCCCGTCTACAGTCACTCAATCTTCTGAAAATATTTTAGCTCCCTCTCAATAGTACAGACGAAACGTAGTTGCGCCGGAATTACAGATTATTTTCAATGTTTGTATGAATGAACGCGTGTAAAATTTGTCCCAGATTTGGACCTTGTATCTGAGGGTGGAGAAGCCAGCGCGCAATCACTGAATACTGTGCGCTTCGTAAGCGACTGTCCTTGGCGGTCAACTTTATTGTCGGGGAGCCTTTCCGTACGACCTTGCCTGGCGGCCGTGGCACTACACAACATGGGCAGTGCAGGTCGGCATCAATGGCCGAGCACAGCCGTGTCATGGTCGACTCACGCATGAGCAGTGCAATCGGCTGCACGAGACTTCGATAGCGTCTCTTGCTGTCTGGGGCTATTCTGTGTATGTGTGTAGTAGGGCGACTAGATTACAAAATATACATATAAAACGGGACACGTTTTTATACTTTATTACATAGGACGCCGGGCAGCTTTACCTCCAGGGAACGAGTCCCCGGTACGCAATGGGTACGAGGTTGGGTGGGCCACAAACCCGGTCTGGGGTGCGCCCAGCCTCCTATCTAATAGGTAGTTGACCCCGGCCGGGTTCGATTTCTGGTAGGGATAAGAATTCTTTATTTTCTCCACATCTTCCAGACTGGCCCTGGGCGCCACATCCAGTGAGCACAAGAGGCCCTTCGCCCTGGGAGTAAAGCAGCCTGGGCGTGAAGCTAACCACGTATCTCCATTTAGCGCCAAGATCGAGAATGGTGGAGCTATACCTCAACTCCCCCAAATGTCGTGGCGTGATGCTTAATTACGCAGAGGGACAACTTCGTCTGTCTAGTAAATTGCCGTTGGCGCTCGCCAGCACAGCAGTTTTTGGTTTCGGACCCTACGGGACACATGACCCATATTTTTCTATCTCATGACTCAGGGACAACTTCACCTTTATGTATAGCATTTGGCAGCCAAACCTTTCCAGCTGATGTTCAAGGAGACGATTCACTGTCTTGCGTAGAAATGTTGTAATTCTTGGACTAACGAATTTCATGCAGTGTTCTGGGGTTGTTACGCCGTTCTTCTAAATAAACAGAAATGTGTTACAACACGAATTTGTTACTTTGGCGAACTGTTCATTCGTAAAATAATCTTCAAATCTGATAATACAGTAGAACTTGGTTATAACATCATCAAAGGGACCTAAAAATAGTGTCGTTATAAACGAATGTCGTTGTAACCGAAATGGGCACTTTCACAGTAGCCTTATATTAGTCACGTAAAAATCTACCAAAAACCGAGTTAAAATGTTGCATTTTTTAGTGAAATACGTAGTTAAGTACAGACTAACGTAACATTAACGTGGAATTGCCCAAATGTGTAATATCAAAGACATTACAGCGCTTTTCACTGACAATACACACCGCACTAATACTGTATATTAAAGGTAGGCCTACTCACCAAATTACAGTAGATTACATCAATTGTTGTGCCTTACTGTACCTAGATACGAGTACAGTAATCAGTTATCTTCATCTGTTTCCTGTTACTTGCCCAATACACACTTTCTAAATTACGTTCAATGTCCATATCAGAGAAATTCAGGAATGAAAATGACGTTACATAAGAGGTTGATGCATTTGTGCATGTCGTACTAAGCAAGGTATAAAAACAGTTGCTTTATGAGGAATTAGTTCGTACCATTGAATATTTGACGCAATAGACAAGGTGTCGCAGAAACCGATGTTGCTATAACTAAGTTTTACTGTATTTACATAAACTCTGAGGTGGGAAATTCTAATCTCTCACATTTTTTTGTTTTGATGACTAAAACATCAAGTTCTTCGGTTACTTCACAGCCTGAAATATTGTCAATTTCTGTATTGTTATATAACACTGTAGCAAATTTTCAATTCAGTCTCCAAGAAACAAAACGAAACAATGGAAATATATTATTTTGTTTATATTATTTATTATACTGCAATTGGGTTTTAGCCCGGTGGCAGTAGTAATAACATCATTAAACAAGAAGTTCTGAGGAGAATAGCCTACTTTCCTTTGATGACAGGGACCGCACAGAAAACGAGAAAATTGGACACACACAGACAGCAAGATGATCTCATAAGTCTCCTTTAGCTTTCAAAATGTGGAGCTAATGAAAAGGCGACCCAGTGCCTGGGGGTATAACTGGGCTATCTTGTTCCTGCAGGAAATAAATACGGGGCCCTAACCCCCAGGTTGGGGGAGTCTCGAACCTAAGACAGTAATATATTATCTTTAGCACCACATGACTTGGACCCGAGAATAACTGCACTGGCGAGGACCAGTGGCAATTGTAAATGATGAACCCATCTTGTCAGAGAGGATGTTACAAGAGGCCTCTGACCGCGAGGGTTCAGTTAAAAAAATTTGGTCGTGTTCCTCAAAGGGCTAGGCGCCAAGACGAACTGATTGGCGGTAAACCGCCAGTCGTAAAGTAACTCTGACTCTGCTATGCACAAGACAAAACTTGGAGGCAGACTTGAATACATACAATATATCCCTGTGAGTTGTAGGAAGCGACAAAAAGGAAACCAAACGCCTGGGGGTATAACTGGACCACACTGTTCCTGGGGAGATATAAACACTGGACCTGGTCCTCCAGGTTGGGGAAGTCTGGAATCTGACAGTAAAATGTGAATGAGTCCTGCAGGACTTGGATCTGATGACTGTGCTGGCAAGGGCAAACAACAACTGTAAATGATAGACCTGTCCTCGTGTCAGAGAGGGGACCCCATATCAAGAAACCCAAAACTGACAGAAATAAAAGTCTGGTCTTGGGCCCCAGATGGGTGTTTGACACCAAGACCAGCTGGCTGACTGACCATTGGTCATAACATCACTTTGATTTTAACTCTGAACTAGGCGTAAAAGTCCGGCTCACAGTCAGGCAGGTCCTAGGTCTTGATGAGGAGGCCAACAGCAGAGCAGTACAGTCTAGCATCAGCAGTTAGGAAGTGCAATCATTGAGCCATAAGTGCATGAGGAACAGCCTCTGTTAGAAGACTATGACCAGGCAGTGGTTAGTTGAGTTGAGAGATAAGCGACAGCCAGCCAGGACTGGAGCCATGTGTGCTGTAATGAACAGTAAATTGTGTGAATTAGTGAAACAGATATAATTAATTGTAATTATGAGTCTTAAGAGAGTGCAATAAATCTGATTACTAATCAAAACACTGTCTATAGTCACTCCATCAGGTCACAATATACGAGGTAACGAACTCGCCACCGTGTGCTTGCCGTAGCAGCAGTGGACAGAAACCTCAGTATGGTTTGATGACGTTGGCATATGTGTTTTACAGCTGTGTTGTTGCTGATCTATGGCAATCTCTTTCTGAGTTGCATCTATTATTGTCTGAGTGTCTTTTGGTGTGCCGTCACGAAAATGTCAGAACGTACATTAAATGTCTTGTTACGATGAGGGTGGAAGTGAAACCAGACAGATGTTAGTGCAAGTTTACAGGGATAATGTGAACACTAGTTTACAAGTGGATGACACGTTTTTCCGAGGGAAGAGAAAGTGTCACTGATGAAGAGAGATCAGAATGGCCAGCAATGAGCAGAACTGAAGAAAACATTGCAAAATTTCGTCAAATTCTGTGTGAAAATTGTCCACTGACTGTTAGGAGCACAGCAGAGCAAGTGAACATCAAGAGAGAAATTGTTAGGAAAATCTTAAATGAAGATCTTGACATGAGGAAGGTGAGTACAAAAATGGTCCCGAAGGAGCTGCTCACACGGCACTGTCTGTAAAACTGCCATATTCTTCTGGTGTTACAGATAAGTTACCGATTACTGAATTCAAACGAGGTTTGTTGAGTTAGTGTGTACAGTCATAGGTGTGGTACTTTCGGGGACAGATATGACAACAGATGATGCATTTCCATAGGTTTCAAATACTGACTGACTTCCACAATACCGGAAGAGTTTTTCCAAACTTTTTTCCGTGTAGCCTAAAGTCAGCACACCTGGGCTTACTGATATGAATGTTTCTTGTTTTGTTATTGAGAATATTTTGAAAATTTCAATGATGCTAAAGAATTAGGTTTTCAAGGGAGGCTGATATTCATACTGAAATCAGTCATTGAAGAAACTTATACTTGCAATGTCTAAAAGTCATCACAAAATCCCATAATTTGATGTGGAAATTACTAATCATGAGTGATGAAAATAATGTGTACTTTGTGGGGCTACTGCTCTATTTATTGCTGTAAGTCTATTTGTTTAGTTCATTTGTCAATCAAACATAACATCTTAACACAAGAAGTCGTAACATATTTCCAAAGTTCTAATTCACTATGTACATTAACATCTTAAGTACAAGCAAGCATCCATAAAAGATCAAATGTAATTAAACTGTTTTTAAATGAGTATCATTTAATATACTATACCACCTTCCAATCCTTATACAATTACTTATGCATACAAGGTTTTAAGAAAAAGGAAATGTTCTCCAAATAACACATGTGAGAATAAGTATGTGTTTTTGCACTACAGCAGAATACGAAATGATTTTATTTGCAAAAAATACCAAAATCCTCTGCACTGAAATTGTGCTTACAGCTTTGCTGTGTGGAACACCATCATGGGGTCCTCCCTGCTGACAATGCCGTGGGGAATGCAGAATGCTGGCCTGTTGATGGGTGTCATTACTATCGTTCTAATGGGGGGGCTATGTCTCTACACAACACACAAGATACTTCAGGTCAACACACGACATGGTAAGTCTAACTTCAGATCAATCTTTCATTCATATATCCAAGCTGTCAGCAGTACATCATGACGCCCTGTAAATTGCATACAGGCTATATAGCATCATGTGGGAAGGTGATTGTGAACTGGACGTGGAATTGAGTGGTCATGTCCCAGTTCTTAAGGTGCTATCCCAGTATGCGCTTTACAGAGGAGAAACAAAGAATCTCTGACAGTACAGATGGTCTCCAGACATGACTAAAACCTGGGTCCTCCTGAATATTAAAAAAGAGTGCTAACTACTGTAATACCCTAAGGCCATAGTGCGGCTGGAAGGATTAGGCCAATTGAAAAATCCAGTGACCTCTATGGGAATCAAACCCACAACCTTCTGGCTTGTAGCATAGTGCTTCAACGAGCTACGGTAGCACGGGCCCCTCACTATGTATACAAGAAGGTAAAACAAGCTGTGAAAGTGTGACTGCAGATTGAGTTCTGGCATAAAGCTAGGAACATTTCTCTTCACAGCTTCTAGATATGAGCTCTAGGGCCCACACACTCCTATCCAGTGCAGACTGNGGCTCTTTTCCGGCCAGTGACGGTAGCTGAAAGCACACCTGTCTGATGTGAAGTTTTGCCCTTTTTTTTTTTTGCAGCACAAAAGGTGTAGAAATAATTAATGAGAAACAAACACTGCCATCATATAAACATGAACACATTTTGTGACAGGAGAAACAAATTCTGATGGGGAGGTAGCAGAGCTGGCAACACTGCTGCTAGGTCGATGGGCAGGCTACATTGCTAAGATGTTCTCATTGCTGGTGCTGCTTGGAGCTGTGATAGTGTACTGGGTGCTTATGAGCAACTTCCTATACCATTCTGTTGACTACTTATATGGTAAGTCAGAATTCAAAGTTTTTCTTTTCAGTATTTTAGAGCAGTTACATTTTGCACATATATGCATTGCTTTTCTTCAGTTAGTACACATACCAGCAAATATGTTACCAATAGGTACTGGACATCTGCCAGTGCACTGTATGCACCCTGTGTGTTTACTTGCAGATCACAGGCTAAACCATCAAAGAAACTTGCATCAAAAGACATGTTTCACAGTAAATGGTCACCTTCAGATAATGTATACAAAATATAGATAAAATAACAATGAATTAGGTCAGATGTGACTTAATTTTACAAAGACATTGATATAAAAATGATTGTATTTGTCTAAATATAACAATACCCCAATATATGGCATTATATGTTTACTTTTTAGTTAAAATATTTTTCATTATATCGCTCGGCACTTCACACTCGTATTATCCTTTCATTCTACATATTTAGCCTTCTCGGTTAATTCAAGTTAAATCATATCTTTACATTTTATATTAGCTTGGTTTTATTTCTTTGGGTACTTGGAAACCCATTCTGAGATCCTTCTGTTGGTGTGGAGCTGGAGTTTATCTGAAAAACTACAGACGTGTTACAGAATTTTGGTGTGCTGCAGAGGTAGAGTAATATTGGGGTTAAGGGTGGAACCTTTCTTAATGTTGAGTGCAATATGCCTGGACATGTATAACCATTTCAGTAAAGAAAGTCAACTTCCTGGCTGTTCAAAAGTAGCAAATGAAAAGCAGCCTTTAAAACCACTAAACTTATATTGAACACTTTAAAATATAAATATTAATTTCTGATCCATTTAGTAATAGTGGAATATAACAACTCTCATGCCAAGAAGGTCCTAAAAATATATGGGCCAAACTGGAAGGACCTTTAAACTCAGGCATAATGCGCATATCTGTAACATAAGAACAAATTAAACAAACTCACAATTTGCTCATGACATACCACAAACAGCGCATTCACATAGCCACCTGAAAGATACCTTACAAATGCTTCATAAAATAAAAAAAAGTTACATAAATATCTTCAAAAAATATTTTAAGGTTTGTCAAAAAGGTTATCATCTACATAACATAGTTTCTGTTAGTAAAAATCTTATATATGATAGTCTGACAACTCGATGCAGGTAAAGTTCTCTTCACATTCTGAATGTACCTACCAATTAGTCACACTCCTAACTATATCAATACACAGACGGTTGCTTCCAGGAGCATTTTAACACTGCATCACCATGTCGATTATTGCCTTCAAAGACGCATATTCTGCTACACCTGCAAGTAAAATTATACCCTTAACTCACATAATAATCTAACTGTACAATTCCTAAAACTTAGTGTAATATTAAAAAAAAACAGTAAAGTTGTCCCTGTACTTATTTACTTAAGCACTATGCCATGAAGACATATGGGGGAATGGAGGTATAGCTTCATCAATTTTGACCTCAAAAGTGGATGGAGGTGAGTAGCCACTTTCACACCACATCCGCTTTACCCCCAGGGAAAGAGCCTCCGGTAACCACTGAATAGGAGGCTGCGCGGGCCCCAAAGCCAGTCTGGATACTGCCTCTGCCAGGAATCGAAATCTGGCCATCCAGCATGTAGCCCATTGTAGTGCAATATAAACAACACACAATTTTCAGATCAATTTTCAAGGACTCGTATTTCGCTACATCAATAGAACGATCTTTGTGTTCAAAATGATACATATCACACCCCATCAGCAAGTAAAATTCCACCTTAAATCCTAATATTAATTGAAATGTACAACTTGCTAAAAACTGATACCCCTTGTTTAATTTTTCAATCATCTCTGGCTATTCACAAACATAGAGCAGCAGAAAGATTGTACCAACGTACAACTGAAGGTATACTTTGCCTGGGATTAACCAAAAAGGCTATATGCACACAATGAAAGGATAATATGAGAAAGTGAAGTGTCAAATCATACATAAAAAAGTTAACCTGAGCAGTAAATATATAACTTCACACACTGGAAAATTCATATTTAGAAAAATACTGTAGTCTTGTACTCATCTTTGTAAAATGATGTCACATTCAGTGTAATTGACTATTTCACCCACATTTTTATATATCTGGCTGATCTGTGTATATGTCACCCAGTGACGACCGTTTATGGTAAGAACATTTAGTGTATAATAAGAAACAAAAACAAAATGGTTTTTCAGATGTAAGTTTGTGTGATGGTTTATGTTATGATCTTAATGGCACAGAACGTAACTGAAGGGACTTAAAACAGAATGCAACACGTCAGACTGACCATATGAACACCAAACACATTTGAATCCTGCAAACTGTCACACTTCTTGAATATTGTTCTGATTAATTCCTTGCACTACTCAATCGGAATCTGCTAGGTTTCAATAATTGAGTTGCACAAGGACAGATAAGAATCAGAACGGTATTCAAGTTTATACACAGTTAAACAGGACGTTAAAATATGTCACACTTCTCGTTTTCATATTTCTTTCATATCTTCTCTTCTTTTTCAGAGACTGCCACACATACAACATCGAGTCAAGACAACAGTTCATCAGCATTACCTTCTGGTAAGTTTGAAATGAGTATAAACAAGTATCCAGTATTACATTATTATAAGACACCCAGGTTCCAAAACAATTTGGTTTACCAAACTTATTGTCATGTGTAGGATGGTACGCATGATGAAATGTTGGGTTCTAGTTCTGATGATTGGATTTATTAGCACCTTGGTTACACTGTCTCTCTTAATCACACTTATTTATCGCACTATCACTAATTTACACACACTCCATAATTCACTGTCATACACACGCTAGTCCTCTCTTGGTAATGTATCTCAACACAGAAACTAGTGCTTCAAATCACTCCAAGTATTACACATAATTCAAGTCTTCTAATCATGTGCCAAGTCTTCACACGGCAAATTTTCCTTGGCTATCTTCTACCGACAACTCTGTCACACTGTCATACTTAAACACTCTGAAATACTCTGAAACACTCCCTTGGTTATTACTGAAATCTTGTTATACAGCCTCCACACCAACCATGCATAGAAAACAGGTTATATTGCTGTAAAGGAGTGTTTACCACGACGCTGCATAGCAGCGGTCTCGACACCGACCACATAGAAAACACCATATTTTGATTGTTGCCTTGCGTGTATTTGGTCGTGAGGTGCATTACCACCAAATGAGCTAATCTAGGTAGTTCATTATTCACTCTAGTGCAGATAAGAAAACAGAGTCAACATAACTACATGATATCACTTCTGTGTCATCCACAGTTTTATGTCCGCAAGATGAGAATGGTGGTGACACACTCAACGCAACATCACTTTTGGAGATGCCAGTGCCACTATACAACAAAGTGTGGGACATTACAACGACTGTCCCAATATTCCTCATCCTCATCATTGGCCCACTCATCAACTTCAGAAGTGTCACCTTCTTCACCAAGTTCAACTCTCTCGGTAAATAAACACATGCTGTACTGAATGACTATGAGTTACATACACTACTCATTTATGTTACAAATGGCCACTCTTGAAAACAAATTTTTAATAGCAGCTTGAATGTATCTTCGTTTCAACAGACATGTTGAGCACTAACAAATGTTATATCAGTCTTAGGTAGCTAATGTATCAAAACTACCACTGTACTACATTCTTCTTAAGTGCAATTACCATTACACTGTTACAGGTACCCTCTCTGTAATGTATATACTGCTCTTTGTGATTGTCAAGTCTGCAAGCTTTGGAATCAATGTGAACTTCACCAATGTGACAAATATCCACTTCACACCACTGTTTCGAATAACATTTCCAGCCTTATCAGGCATGGCAGCCCTCTCCTTCTTCATCCACAACATCATAATCACCATCATGAGAAACAACAGACATCAGGAAAATAATGTAAGTATAACCCATCCTATGGGAACTTCACGAGAATAAAGTTAATGGTTCATATATATAGAGTGATTGAAAGTCGTACCCCAAACTTCAGGAGGCTGTAAGAGAGATAACATGGAGCAGAGAATGTATGTGATCCACTGTTCAGTTCATAACCCTTGTCAAGTTAAAATGTTTCCTCCCTTTTTAACAAAATGAAATAATTATCCACTTATATATATATATTTCACCATTTAAATTTAATGCCTTTATTTATTACTTTTAATTAGAATAGTCAAAGAGCAAAGATTCTGAAGTTATTAGTTCTTTTCAGTTTGAATTTTACATCATGTTTAACACAAAGTGGAGACTCAAAAGCACGCTTGATAGGAAGGTCAAAGGAAGCTCCTCACATGACCCAGTTGTCTCTGTCTGTGACTAATCAGGTTTTCACAATGTGCTACTTCTACAGCATAAACATTTTCTACTATGAATTCCTACAAGAAGAATGTAAAGGCCAGTTGATTGGACTCCCAAGGTTTATCCGTGAGTCAGAAAATGGTTGCTGAAACACACACATGATGCTAACACGAGGGAAGGTTGCTATCATGCTGAAATCACAGGGCGTTGCAAACATTAAGGGGTATATCATCCAAAAAAAAAAAAAAAGAGGAAGTATTTTTCAATGATATTAGCATACCGAATTCCACCAAGATGACCCACTATCATGTATTGTCAGATTAGATAAATGTCTTATAAACACTGATACCAATCAGTTGAAATGAAGAGAATTGGGTAGCATGAGGATTTCATAGTGGTTGTAGATAATGTTTGCTGCACTTCTTATGAATGCTGCCTCCGCAGACCACAATACATGGCACAAAAAGCCAGATTTATCTACAGTTTTGTGTAGAAGTCATCCATCAGAACTGGAGATGAAGTTTACTGTCCCCTGTGTGCAGCCCTCGTACAGATGCTACACAAAACGGATACAAGTGCTTCTCATCCATTGTATGTCAAACTGCACTCTTGGGAGAGGTCCGTTTCTTACATGATATAACACGTGCTAGTTGACTAATTAGCCTGTACTGCATCTAACACTTCATCTTCATTCCGTGTATTGCAACTGCCGCAGCCAATGTAAGCTGGTGGTACGTCTGTTTCCTTCAGACTGTAGAGTAGGTCCTCTTGGAAAGTCATCCACTATCTGGCCTATTGTACCAGCCCTGGGTGATAAATGATTATGCATGTGGAGCAGTTGGTGGAATGAGAATTGGCAGGGGAAACCAAAATACTCAAGAAAACCTGCCCTTACCGCACAAGCAAAAAATGTGCTCTCAAAATACTTGAAGTTCAAGACTGCAAAACCAATGTTCATATTGAGATTTTTTTCTTAATTCAGTCTGAAAATTTGAGATTTGCACAAGATTATTATTTAGATTAACTACTGGAACTAATGCACTTTTATTTATTTTCAGACTCGTGATCTGTCCATAGCATATCTGCTAGTAACTCTGACCTATGCTTTCATTGGGTTAGTGTTCTACATCTGTTTTCCTCTTCAAAAGATTTGCATTTCAGATGTAAGTAGCATAATGGTAATCACCAGTAAGCAAGATGGCCTTTTGTGTTGGAAATTTATTTAAGAACAAGAGAGTTTATATTTGCTCTCAGATATGCACATTTTGTGTTAGTCTGTACTTCCCAACCACTGCTGTTCAGAACTTATGAGCTCTTAAGCCGAGGCTTATACAGTAGAGTTCAGGTATACACCATCCATTGGTTTTTGAGTTTGAAAACAGAAATTATACTGTTCACTGGAACAATGTACAGAAATTCCATGGCTGCAGTTAACATCACACAGTAATCATTTGCAATATTTGAGTCACTGCATTCAGTTGCTCTCTTGGAGGAGGGACGATTTCTTAATTGTACAACTGAAAACCAATTTGTGTTCCTGAGATTAATATGCTACAAAGAATGAAGAACTAATTTTGTGTTTCCTGGGGAACTGTTCGTAGAACCTGCTCGATAACTTCCAGAACTGGGATCCCATGACAGCCATTGCTCGGGTGTTCCTGTTCTTCCAGCTGATGACAGTCTACCCGCTCATCGCTTTCATGCTGCGCTCACAGTTCTTCATGGCTGTTGCAAGAAATGTATACCCTGGTCTGCCTCATGTCCTGGGCTTTAACACTGTTGTTGTCACAGTGTGCATTCTCTTTGCTGTCTTTCTACCCAGTATTGGCACCATTATTAGGTACTTCCTCAGTTCTGACTTGATTCCTAGTTCAAGAAATAATGTTGCAAGGGATATTGAGATCTACTCTTTCACATACTGTAGGAATCCACATGTTAATTTATATTGCTTTCAAGCAGTACTTTACTTTCTGGGTGTGTGTGTGTGTGTTTTTTTTTGGGGGGGGGGCATGTTATACATTCCACACTAAAAACATCTAACCCAAAGAATCCCATTTATGCATTTTAATGACAGGTTTATTTATGAAAAGGTGCTGGTACTGTATGTTGCCAGAAAAGAAGCAGCAGTGTCAGGCAGTGTACACCGGACTGTAGGTTTGATATTAAGGATGAAAGTTGGCTGTGCCATAGCTCAGGCAGTTAGTTGCTGGCTTCCCACAGTGGCAACCTCGGTTCAATTCCAGGTCAGGTACTGTGGGCTTTGCGGTGGACAAAAGTAGCACTGGGGCAGGTTTTCTCCAAGTATTTTGGTTTTACGTGTCAATTCTCATTCCACCGACTGCTCCACATTCATCATCATCTATCATCCGGGGCTGGTACAATAGGCCAGTTAGTGGCTGACACACCAAGTGGACTCAGTCTCACCCCACACCGAGAAACCATTAAAAAAAAGGGGATGAAAGGTTGCCCTAATAGGGTTATACTGACTGTATCAGTAGTAAGAAGAATGTAGAGAAGAGAAAATTCTTTAAGTACTGGTAATAGGTTGTTAAGGTTAAGCTACCTCAGTCTGTATACACCATACGCTTTTCAATCCTGGCATGTGAAGGAAGTGAGAGGTTAACTTCAGTCATTTTAATCCTTATTCACTGGGGAAGGAACCCCCATACCAAGTGGGTCCTGACATCCAGTCTGGGTACAGTGGTGAAAAAGAACACCCTGGCACTCCTACTGGGAGTGAAACCTGAGCTATCTGGCCCATGGCCCATCACTTTACTAACCAAGCTATCACAGATCAATTCTATTATAACTTTTGATGTTTTCATGATGGTGACTGTTCAGATCATGGTATTCTGGGTTGTGACACCATGCAGTCTTGTAAGTGGACACCATTTCAGAGAAACATACAGTCTCCACTCCCCTGTGGACATGGGAAATGTGTAAATTGGACAAACCAGAAAATTCTTTTAGACACAACACATCTTGCTGTGCCACATGGAGAGGCTGGTCATGGCAGAACACAGCAGCAACCTTGGCCACTGTATTCTGCTCAAAACGCCAGCATCCTGGTGAAGAAAACCAAGGAGCAGAGTCTGCCTCATAAGACAAGCAACATACATCAAGCTGCACCCAAGCAGCATGAGCAGGAAAGAAGAGTTCTCCCTGAGCAGATCATGGGAGTCTCTTATACTGTACATTCCACGAATGAAAGGTGGAGGGTTTTCTCAAAGGACAAGATAATCGCTTCCCACTAAGATGACACTCCTCTCTCTACCCATGACCTCAAAGGGATAGTTTTGCATTCCCTTTCTGCAGGGGCACTGAAAATGGACGTCTTTTTCCAATCCTCAGTGTTTTTATTTTTCCTCCTGTGAGGAAAACATTAAGCCTCTTCTCATAATTCTGATCTCGTCTCTGTAATACAAAACAATACTGCAGTACTGGAAAGGGAATTTCTTCACAACTTAATTTCCCCCCTGTGATAGAAGCAGTCTGTCACTGAAAAGGGCCATTTTCCTACCTACCATCCCCACTGGCCAAAATTAGGCTCCATTTATTTACTCCATCCCATGGGTCTGTGTGACCAACTTCTTTTCAACCTGCCTATGTAACAACCAATTCCTCATCCTACATACTTCAGCCCTCAAAAGGAGGTAGCATATTCCTCTGAAACACTGGTATCCACCAGTGTCGCAACCAAGACCACAGTATGAAGGATCAGCCCTGTTACTATTAATACATTAAGCAGACAGTTTATCAAGTATTTCAAAAGGTGAAGAAGGCTTTATATAAAATATCCCGAATCAACAAACTCTGAATTAAATGTAATAATATCCTACATACTCATACATATAAGAACGGTTTCTTTTTTTCTATTTTCAGGTACACAGGTGCATTATGTGGGCTGCTATATATATTCACCCTGCCCATCTTGCTTCATCTTGCGTCCAAACGTGCATGTGGCAAAACTTCAGTGGTATCTACTGTTTTACACCTCACCATCCCAGTAATAGGTGCAATAAATCTTCTCGCACAGTTTTATGTATGATGGGAGTGCAATGCTCTGTTGAAACAGAAAAGTATCTCCCATGTAAACAAAAGCAATATTACTGATGTCTCGATGTAGATTCAGCTCCTGATACATGTCTGTCCATAGGGATGTATACTGTCACCTTGGGACAACATCAGTCACCTCTTTTTGATAACAAAATAAAGCACATTGTGCTAGAATGGTGCAATGATGTGATGCAATCCAACAAGAACCGAATTAAACTAATAACAGCTCTAATTTTTTTATAAACAAAGCTGAAGACATTTTTATTGACAATGAATCAGCATTTTAAAGCAAGTGTCACATAACTTTGATCAAGGCCAAGAGTAACCTTGAAAGCGCAGAAGAAAAATTTCAGACAAGGGGGTGGGTTCGAGGGTGTGAGAAGTGACAGGCGGCCAGTTGTACAAACAACTGGAGGTTTTACTGTAATAAGATCTGTTTAGTAACTGACCTCTTAGCAGAATTCACTTTGATCCCTAATAATTTGATCTATATATGAAATTAACTTTGCCAAAAGAAGGTTGGATAACATTTATACGAACCCTGAGATCTGAGGGGGAGCACGCAGTAACGTAGCTGGTCGAGGGTTTCAGTCCTGATGAGTTGAATTTTTTTTAACCTAATCCTTCCAGCGGCACTATGGCCCTGGGGTTGACTCAGCCTCTAACAGAAATGAGTACCAGGAATCTTCCTGGGGGCTAATGGGCAGCTGGCGAGCAAGGCTGACAACCTCACTGCCATCTATGAGCTGATTGTCTAGGTGGTCTAGATAGTGTGGGAGCCTCAACATCTCACAACCCTATGGGCAACCATGGCCTGTTACAGGGATAGCTTTACCTTTACCTGAGATCTGAGGTTGTTGCAGTGTTGAGAATTAAGATTACCATCTTCTGATATGTGACACAGTGTAGCGTGGTAGTTGGGTACTTTCAATTTATATGAAGTTGACAGTAGTCGGCTTCCTTGAAAATTACTTCATTTGCTTTTTCCACATGTTTATAAATAGATATAGCTCTGCTGAGAAAATAATCTTCCTTATTCCAACAGATGTGACTAACAATTTCCATCCATTCTGAATGAACTGAAACTTAATCTGATAGTATATCTTTACAACTTTCCATTAGCAATTTCAATTGAATAGAAACTAGAATCAAGTACTAATGTTTCAGGTATATGTAGAAAAAAGGCAAAGTAAAGCTGTCCCTGTAACAGACCGTAGAGGCCCATAGAGTTGTGGGACATTGAGGCTCTCACATTTTCTAGACAATCGGCTGACAGATGGCAGTGAGGTCAGCCTTACATGCTGGATGCCCTTTACCCCCAGGAAGATTCCTGCTACTCATTTCTCTTAGAGGCTGAGTCAACCCCAGGGCCACAGTGCGGCCAGAATGTTTAAGTCAATTGAAAAATTAAATGACCTTATCGGGAATCTAACCCGTGACCTTTTGGCTTGTAGTATAGTGCCTCAATCAACAATGGTACTGTGTGCTCCTCAGCTATATGCATTCTTCTCTCGCTTCAGCTGTCGGAACCTCCATGACAACAAGGGAACATGTTTCTAAATTTGTAATCACTATGAAATGGCACATACTAAGAAGATAACTGCATCTGTCAACTGCCACATGAATAATGCATTAAGTGCATATCGTAAGTTGAGGGAGATGGCAGTAAACACAAGTATCATTCTACACGGAATGTTGTTTTATCAGCATTGTGTGGGTACTGTGAATTTGGCTATCAAAAGATATCACTGTATACACTCATGTCAGGACACAACCATAACCTTGGTCCTCAGCTGAGGACACAGCAATTGGCTGAATTCAACGTATGGCTGTTTATTTCTGAACATAGCTGCGATCATAATTTTTGATGCATGAGGATCTTGTACATACCTGAGAGAAATTTCTTTAGATGGTAGTACTATTTGATGGTCCCCAGTTTCTCAGAGCATTTAACTTGCTAGATGTCCTACAGAATTAACGTTTATTCTTAGAGGATTCTTGTACACCCAAACAGTGTCCATCCCTGCACCAAGAGTGGCATCAGGTGTCCACGTTGGGAATGGAAATCTACATGCTACCACATGTACATCATTACATAACTCTTTTTCAAGTTTCATTTCCAGCTGTGGCATCTGAAATGAGGAAATATTTAGCACATGTATCAATGAACTACTCTGGACACTGGTAAATATTGTGTATCTCTTTTCAGAGGTTAATTTCCAGCTCTGGCACCTCAAATAAGCAAATATTTAGCACATACATGACTCAGTTATTCTGCACACTGGTGACCTCCAAGTTTCAGTGTCTCATGTTTAAAGCCTAAGCAGACTTATACAATATAATTCTCTTCCATGTGGTATGTAGAACATAAGCCAAATTAAACAATTCAGGTGTATGATTTGTCTACCTCTTTGATTGCGGTCTGTAAGACTACGTTAAATAACGTGGTTGCCAGACCACCACTGTAATGCCTGAACTTTTCTCCAGTCTCATTTCCTATCTTCACCTTAGCATATGTTTCATGTAGTGTCATCACTGTTAAGTTAATGGGTTTTGTTGGTATTGTCATTTCATGCATAGCTTGTGCTAATTTATTCCTTCTTACACTATCGAATGCTTCAACAGGATGCATTCCATAAATATAGTTTTTTGAGCCCATGTCCTGGGAGAGCAAACAAACTCATTGAAAAAAAAAAATGTCAACGAACATATTTTTCCAAATGCAAGCTGTGTGCAATACACAGAAAATAGTGGAAAGTCACTCACCATCTCCTGTACACCAAATATAACAATATTTGGGTAAGGCTTCAGGTTGAACTTCCACAGGTCCTGACAGTAGAACCTTGCACAATTGCAGAACCCCAGCCGGAAAGCTTGAAATTTGGAGTAAGCCACAAGCCATGGATTTAATTCCACACCATCAGCAACAAAACCAGCCTTTGCAGCAGTAAGTACCTAGTTAACAAATAGTATTATGATTATTTAAAACAATTACATCAACTGAGCAACCACCGCTTGTTGGCAAAAGTAGTGCCAACTTTAGCGGATAGAGGGAAACACAAAGCAAAATATTACTGATCATATGTCAACATTTAACTGTAGGAGCATTTTTAGAATGTTGATTATGTATCAAAATAGGCCCAAAAATACTGAATCGCATTACAAACTTTGAGAGGATTTATTATGTATCCCTTATGTAAACTTACAATCCTCCCATCTCCACTGCCTAAATCAATGAGTCTCCCTGATCGGCCAGCCAGAGCAGACATAACATTTTTAATCTGTGTTGCTGTTGCTGGCACATACGGAAGGCAAAAGCGACGTAGGGCTGGTGAAACAAAGGGCAGACATATTACACTGAGCGTAACAGCAGCTCCACCTGCAACAGAATTTCAGAGAGGGGTACAAGTTACTATCAACAGCTCTGCCAGTATAGCAATTATGCTACATGCTGGATGACTGTGGAGTCAGCATTCGATTTCTGATGGTGGCGAGTTCTTTTTTTCTCTTCTCCATATTGTTGTACAAACTGGCTTTGGGGTTCACCCAGCCTCCTATCCAATGGGTACTGGGGTTCCTTCCCCAGGGGTAAAACGGTAAAGGTGTGTAGTTGATCACTCACCTCCATCTAGTGCCAAGGTTAAGAATGGTGGGACTGTACCTCCATTCCCCCATATGCCTTCATGGTGCATAATTAAATGCCCAAGGATAACTTCACTTCCAGTTACCACACAATTCCTACTAACAAACAAATCTGACAGAGTTGACAACTACCTCTCATTTGAGCTTCATATGTGTTATTTTGTACATTCTGAATAGTATCTCTACTGGTAGGGTTATGCAGACTTAAATAATACATGATGAAAATGATGATGGATTTGAAAGGTTGTGGAAGAAACCAGGCATGTCTTCTTTCAAAAACCATCCCAGCGCTCGTCTGGAACAACTGAAGGACAACACGAAAAATGTCAGTGTGGATAGGTGAACAGAATTGGAACTGGATATCTCTTGAATGCATGTCAGGCACAGTACTGCTGTGTCAAATCTGTCAGTATGCCTACACATCAAAGTGTGTTGTGTAAAAATGTTACGCTCTCAGCATGAACATCACGAACAACTTAAAGTTAGCGGTCATTCACAATTCTCAGTGTTAAAATACCCATCCTTCCTTCTTTTACACTGAAATCCAACAAATCTTCATGTTCCATGTAGGAAACTGACCACATATACTGTTGCATGAGAGGGTGTGTGGGCATAAGATAATGGCACACAAAAAAAATTAATGTTCTGTACATGGCTCTATAAATCTTAAATGTTCTCAACTGCCAGAACTTTGAAAGCTGTGTGGTATTTGTCACCAGCCAAAATCTTTTGGTCACCACCAGTGACAATATTTTTCAGCTCCTGGTGTGACCAATTCTTGAGTCTCAGTGGCCTAAATGTTGATTAGCACTCTCAGGCACTGAAAGCACAACTATTCAAATCAGAATATTACTTCTTATCACATCATAAACCTTAATATTTGAGTACAATATGGCATAAACATGAGGGTGATGGTCTACTTTTCCAACTCTTGCCTCTTTTTTCTACACAGAAAGACACTATGAACAGAAGCAGAACATCTATTAAGCAGTATTTTGCCATATCAGTTTTCACTGATAGGAAAACATTCTCTTCCTAAATATTTACATATTCCTGACGTCACAAGTCTAGAGAAGAAAGAATACTTTTGCTTCAAGGAAACGATTAGAAATATAAAACGCCAACAGAGAGGTTGACTGGGACAATGCTGAGGGTCCGTTTCATGATCCATCAGTGACTGTCAGCAAAAGCAGGTATATCTTTTTGACATGGTGGAGTTATAGAAGATCTAAGATTCCCATCATGGTGACTGCAGAAAAAAAAAAAAACCTTTTGGATTTGACACTGTAGATTCACAGGTTGGTAAACTTTTACCAGACCACATGGTATCACACCTCAGGGGATGATACTTTATATGGGTGGAGTTATGATTTTATTTACACAATTTAACATATTTCTAGCTGTACTTAGGCAAGTCAATATGTTTTAGCACAGCACCATTAAAATGTACGGGGCAGCGGATGTAATGTTCTAAACATACATAATCTTAGTGCCAAACAGTATAATTAGTAACCTGTTTGATGCTTTGGCTATATTACAGCTTGGAAAAGATCCCCAAACACCCACTGCACACCAGGCTAGGTGGGCGCCAAGTGGATTGGCCGTAGTGACAAATAATCTGCCATGAAGTCAAAAGCCAATCACTTTACTGCAGTACCTTACATCAGAAATAGCGACAATACAACATTTCTCACTTACAATGCCTGGAACGAATTAATTTTCAAGAATCACGCGTTATCTTTAACGCCACATAACCTCAACGTACTCATACACACCACTTAAACTGATTAAAATTAGTCCAGTTTTTGACAGTCTTCTTCTTGAAATACTATCTACGTCAACCTCTTTAACACTGCCCCCTGCCATTCTTGCCGAGCACACCAATCACACGTAACTGCACCCAGCGCACCTAACCTTCCGTTCACTGTGCACCGCCACGAAGGCCACGAGCGCCACGGACCTACGGACACATAACACGTTTCTCCGATATTGCGTGTAATTTTGTTGCATGTCAGTTCAATTTCGTCGATCCGTGCCCAGTACTGTCCTCAGTACAACATAATATCCACAGAATTACTGGGTTTTTGAACTTTTTGCATCGTCCGGAATTCTAGGTAATAGAGGACACGACGTTTCGGAAACTGTATCTATGTTCTTCTTCAGGTGAGAAAGGAAGACACCTATTCATTTGAGCCCATTAATTTCAATCACTGGACATAATATCCGTGAAAATTGTCGTTGTAGTGTGGTATCCGTGCACGATTTGTTTGATAAAACGAATAATAACAAATATGGAAGAAGATACGAGGTATTTTGAAGGTTGTGGTCATGAAGGACCTATAAGGTGCATATTTTTATGCGAATTTCATCCTGTAGCGGGACCGAAAATAACCTGTCAGGTACTTTATGTCTCATTTGTTTAAAGTTATATGTGTTTTGAGAAGCATTTCGGACACCGGAATGAATGCCGGCTGGTTGGCGGCCGGCCCGATAATTTTCATCATTTTACATAATTCGTCTAATGAAAGCATTATGAAATGGGCTAGTAAAGCCTCCGGAAGCATCCTCCTTAATGTATCATTCGTAATCCTGTTAAGAAGAATTTATGGTCCAGTAAGGGAAAAGGGTATATGGAGGTATAACAATGAACCTTATAAATTGTATAATACATATACATACATACATACATACATACATAGCATTCCATAGATCCATGAGTTAGTCAGATGACCTACCGGATGTGGAATTTGTCAAAAATCGTACAATACATATATACATGCACAATTCAATTTCACTATAAATAGTAAGGATTTCACAAAAGTAGTAAAATATCCATCATAAATCCATACATTAACATATACTAGATTTTTTTTTTCCTGTGTTCCAAACAAGAGAAAACATTACATACACTTTATGTTGTTTGGAAGCATAAATTCCTCAACAGAGTAAAAGGAGTGTGTAATTAAGTATCTCTTTAGTGCTACTTTAAATTGTCCCTGTTTATCTATAAGAGTTGTGATATTTGGTGGTAGATTGTTGAAGATTTTAATGCCAGTATAATATGCACTCTTCTGGAAACAAGAGAGGCTGGCAACTGGTCTGTGAAGCTGATTTTTATTCCTTGTGTTGACATTGTGTATTGTAGAATTGGTTGGAAAAAATTCTTGGTTTTTTACAATGAAGATCATTAAGGAGAATATGTATTCACATGGGAGAGTTAAGATCTCTAGCCTCTTGAAGATATTTTTACATGATTCTCTTGGTTTAACACCAGCCATTATTCTAACAATTTTCTTTTGTA